TCCTGCGCAGGACAATCCCTCCTCTGTCAGCTCCCAGACATCACTGATGCTCTGGGGAGGCAGAGAGAGGGAGAGTTAGGGGGCGGGACTCCCAAGAGTCTGGGAGGGGGGTGCTGCGCGCCTGTGCGTTTTGACAGGAAAGTGGGAAGCATGCGAAAATTTCGAAAAAAGTTCCGATTTTTTCACTATAACTCACTCAATTTTGAATATTTTCCAATGAAAAAAACATGAAAATTTAGAGAACTTCTGGGCGCATATCATGTAAAAAAATTACAAAATTCGGCCCAATGAAAAATTTACAGTTGATTTTTAAAGTGAAAACCGCGCGTTTTCTGGGAATGGAACACTGGTCTCTTGGAGGCGGGGCAGGGAAAATTAAAAAAACGATGCCAACCTGACACACGCACTGACACTTGTAACTTTATTATGTAAGACAAGCTGGGGGTGCCCAGCCACACCTGGGCATCATGTTCAAAATGTAAGAATGTTCAAAATTGAAAGATTTTTTAGCAGTTGCAATGTCGAGGAGATGGCATGTTGTAGGTTCTCAGGTATTTTGTACTCCTGTTGTACCTTTCCAGCTACACGCAGGCAACATTTTAAAAACGGGGATGATCAGGTAGTGCTGGTTACATGCTTAACAAACACCAGTAATCTGGTATTGTGCTTGATGTACAAATTGTAGGTACTTTTTTTTTACCATAGGTCACATATTCCAAGTGTTTCCTTGCCAGACCTGAATAATATTTTTAAATTTTAGCAAAATTTTTAATTTTAGCATCTGACTTGCAATTAAATTATGCCCCTAATTTTGCAGTGGTATCACCCTAAAAAATTCGGACACAGAAAGCTCATCTGTTTTGGGGAAAATTAAAATTCATAACAATACCCAGTGAAAAATTTTGATAGATGGTCTATGCCCTTGAACCAATGGAAATGCATCAGAATTGAGGCCTGTGCAATTCTGACTTTTGAAAGAGAAACCTACAGAACTCACATGTAAATTTATGGCTCATCAGCTGGAGTCATGAAATTGCATTGACTTTGAAAGTGATCCTTGAGTAGGAGGTTAGTTATCTGTAATGAATACCAGGCCCTTCATATTTTTACCTACCCCCCCCCCCNTTCAAGCAATTTCAAAATTTAAAAAAAGGAAATACACAGAACATCATGGCGCCTGTTTTAAAGTTTCAAAAATGAAGTTTGCTTGTTAATTCAATTTTTGCCAAATTTTTAAAGTCCCCACCGCGGGAAACGGGACCCTCCTGCAGGCCTGTCTGGGGGCTCTGTGGGAGGGAGGTAGGGGGCAACTGGGGAGGGAAAGTGCGTACGCGAAAACCGACGAACAGAGATAAGTAACTTTATTAGTAAAGATCTACAGTACACATCTGAAACTGAAAAATGACTTTTCAAAATGGTTGCTTTGAAATATTCTCAGGCTTTCATATATGATAACTTTTCATGCTGAATAGTATAGTTGAAAAAAAATTATTCGTACAATATTAGTAATTTTTTGGAGATTCAAAGTTTGAGAATTTCAAGGTTGCGCTTGATATTTAAATTTCGCCCTCATTTCGGTGAGAACTCAATTAAAAGGCATGATACTGGGCGAAACTCTTATTCATATTCGACGGGATTCGGTGCAAATAAAAATGTATGCCATATATTTGAGCGTATAGGCAGATTTTAAATACAGTATGGAAAATTCATGGAAACTTGTTAATTCTTAAGAATTTAGGATTTGGTTGAAAATTCTTCTTTTATAAAACCCAACTTATAGCAGTGGTCTACATGGCATATTATTTCTCATATGAATCAAAAATCTTACTTCATCAATACTGTAATAATATACTGTACTGTATATACTGTAGATCAGGGCTTTTCAACTGGTGGTACGCGTACCCCAAGGGGTACGCGAGTGCTTGCCAGGGGGTACGCGGACCACTGTCTGGTCCAAAAATAAAATCCCTAGGTGTTCTGACCAGAAGGGTGGAGGTTTTTCATAGCCATTCCACAGTGGTTCCCTTATCAGAGTAAAACATGGGCAGTGTAGATTTTTGTTTTCAGGTCTCCCTTAAACAAAGCCATCAGGTTAAAAATTGCCTGAGTGTATACTATAACAAAGTTGCTTGCCATCCTAGGTTCCCATTTTTTTTTTGCCAGCCCTCCCTTCCTTCCTGCCCCTTACCTCCCTCCCACAGAGCCCCAGAGAGGCCTGCAGGAGGGTCCCAGCATTTCCAGTTGTCCAGATTTTGAAAATTAGTCAAAAATTCAATTTTGACTCAATTTTCATATTTCTTCAAATTTTGCAGGTGCACAGATGTTTTAAATCTCCTTTTTGAATTTTTGAAAAAACTTCAAAATTGAGTGAGATATGACAAATGCAATACATTTTTGAAAATCAAGCCAAAAACTGGAAAACATCTTTTTCAATTTCAATTTTCAACATCTTCAAAAATTTGTCCTGATTTTAAAATTTATAAACCTTTATTGTGCATCTAGCCCTGTGAGAAATTTTGAAATAGAGCAAATTTTAAAGAAACTATAGTGAGCTAAAGAGAAATTTTTGAATTTTTGTGCCCCATTTCTCAAACTTCAAAAATTTGCTAAACATTCAATATTCAAACAAACTGAATTTTGAAACTTTTATTAGAAACACCATGGTGTTTGCCACATTTCATTTTTTTTAATTTTGAAAAAGGTTGCAAATTGATGGATCAAAAATAAAAAATGCAAAACATTTTTCAAAATCAGGAGAAAATTGGAAAAAATCTTTTCACATTTTTATTTTTAACTTATTCAACTTCCAACATTCTTCCTCATTAAAATAAAATATAAATTTGTAAAACTTCAGTGTGCATCTAACCCTGCAGTAAATTTTTAAATTGATCAAATTTTAAATAAATTATGGTCAGCTAAAATTGAATATTTCCATTTTTTCATCCCAATTTTGACATTTTAAAAATTTATAAAAATGATTCTATGGCACAAAACTTTAAAATTTAAAGAAGGTTAAATGCATGGTAGTGTTCCATGTTTTCTTATTTTAAGTTCTGAAAAATATCAAGAATTGATAGAGTTAAGGTGAAAAACACAGAACATTTTCAAAAATTGAGCCAAAATGTTTTACCTCATCGTGGGGGGGCTCACAGAGTGGAAGGGAATGGAACACCATATACTGTACTTATTTTTCAATTTGCACACCTATAGGGAAGTGGCAAGCAAATTTATTAAATTAGGCAAGTGTGGTGTCTAACCACACTGGGGCAGTGTGCATAATTACTGATGGTCCTTGAAATGTAATCATGCAATATCAGCATTAATCTTTCAATATTTTAAAATTATTCATATAATTTGCATTATGATTAAGTTGGGATTGTAACAAGTAATAAAATCCCCCTGCTCATGTGCCAGTTGTGGCCCACCAGGCCACAATAACTGGCACATGAGCAAATAAAAATATGAGCTGGCACATTGAGCACAAGTACAAGATTACCAGTGGTCCTCCACCACTTAACCAACTTTAATCATGAATTATTTTTAAAGTTATCTGCATAATTTGTATCATGATAAAAAAAAGTGCACCTGGGAACACCCTCTTCCACTTATTATAATTTCTGTAATAGATCAAAGTTTTCCAAACTAAAATTTCCAACAAAGAACTAAGCATTTTCTGCTGTAGCTCAATTCAAATATCTTGTGTTGAACTTTAAATTGTGATGAGTGATGATGATTATTGATTCCATCGCACCTTGATGGTAGCTACAAATTGTCTCTCATACTAAAAAAATATCTTCACAAAATTCACTTGGAAAATAATGCAGTTTCTCTGTATTTTTTGGAAATAGAGTCTGTCCTGATTTTATTGCTGCATTGAATGACAAGTGGATTCACTGGGTGTCTCTATGATGAACAGTTTTAATCTGAAATACATCAGTATTAATAAAGCTGGTCAATGTGGAGGCAAGGCACAGTGCTTCATTTTTTTTCCAATGTAATATTTGATGATGCTGACCCTGCTGAATTTCAATGCATTTAATTTCTATGTGGAATATGTTGAAGGCAAATAATTTAGTATGAATCAATTTCTCAATGAACCAAGGGTGCAAAAAGAAAGAGATCTGTCCCAAGAATAACCTGCTGAGAAGTAATTTGTTTCTGTACTTCATGGAACTAATATTTTTAATTCACAGAAAATAAAGCATTCACTGGTTCAAAACTTGCATAGTCACTAAATTTCCATTACTGACATACATTGTTTGCCTGATGCATCATCTTCATCAATAAAGGTGAAATACAACAGAGATTTGTTGGAGTAAATTTTGTTTTAATATAATTAGGAAGCTTCAAGGAAATGTTGAGAAAAAATGGTTAATTACATGATTTAAACACATATTTTAAGTTAGTGGTGGGGGTACCTGACTGTTCCAGAGGATGAAAAGGGGTACCCGCTTCAAAAAGGTTGAAAAGCCCTGCTGTAGATGAACGTTGTGTCAAGCCCTGATTCCCGCAGTGTACTAAGAGCGACCTCTGTTGCTTAATGAAACGTTCGTCTTTCTTTCCCGCCTGAACGGATTGAAGAGCAGTGCTTTCCTCGTGTGAACGGAAGCCGCAGCGCATTCCTCGTTGTCAGTCCACGCGGAAGCATGATGCAATGTTGTGATTCAATCGAGATTGTGATTCTAAAGCCGTTAGTATCGTGACAGAAGTTCAGATTGTTAGAAGTATCCAATGTTTATGTGTGCAGTTTCTCGATGGAATAACGGACAATTCCTTTTCACACAGTTTGATCGCTCTTCCGAGATAACGTAGTTCGTGAATCTGTAGATTGTCATCGTGTCGAGCTGTGAGATTTTTTTTATCAAGCTTGCGTATGTGTGCCCGCAGTTCGCCGATATTGACGGAGTTTTATTGTGTTTGATTCGCGAATGTCATGGTCATTGAGTTGCGGTGTTGCTCGTAAGGAAGATCAATGACTGATACTTGACTTCTTACGAATGCTTATCGAACAGATATCGTCGGAGGATAACGATTGCTCTTCCGAGATAATTCGGGGAAATAGCAGGGAGACAGTGTCCTGTGTAAATGGAGTTGAGGCTCGGTTCGGAAATGAACTCGCTTTGTGAGAATGAAGGCTATCCGCCCTGGGATCCTGGAGATTCTGCATGTTCCGTGTCAGCCACAAAGCCTGACAGTGGCAAAACGTTTTTGATAAATGGGGATTCTAGAGCTGATCAGGATGAGCTTCCTGCGTGGAATGGACCTATTCCGAGATATGTTGACGACATGGACACCCACCTGGAACTTTTGAACGAAGTCGTTGAGAAGCATACTTATGTTCGGAACACCTCTGCTGCTACGGCTCACAACGTCAACATGAGCGATTTTGCTGGCTCACTGGAGTTCTGCGCTAGTATTACCAATCCTGAGGAAGAAAAGTCGACGCCCAGCAGTGGCAGCGCGGTGGTGAGTCGATTTTTATTCATTAATGTTCTGGTGGTTAAAATCCTTAATTTCGTGTGTACATTATACAGTAAACCCTCTGCGAGATTCCGTGAAATTTTAAGTTCACTGTGCAGTATTTAAATGCGATTTTGTTGTGTCGCAGTTCGAGTCGCCCGCGAAAATTAATCTGCAGCGGCTGATGTATTTATTGTGTGTATTCAACAGTGGTCAACCGAAACCAGGAAGCTCTACGTGAAGATGGGTTACGGTTGTCGGGTTTACCTGAGCTATTCGAAAACCATAAACCGTCTGCGTGTGAGAATCGTGCCGGTATTCCTTGATGTGAACTCCTGCGAAACCCGGGTTGCTGCGCGGTGTTCGAAGCACCGCGATCCAGACCACAAGTCCAACGAAAATCGTAAGCATTATAATTTTTTTTTACTTCTATGTGTTCCTTTGAGTAACTGAAGTTTTGATTTGGCAGATCCGTCTCCAGAACATGTTGTGATGGTGACAGAGGATCCGAATTGGCCAGTTACATATCGTTGTACTGGTTCGGAGTTGTCGGTTTTGTGCGAACTGGGCTCGATCCTCACAAAGCCCTTAAAGCATCTTGACGTCCACTTCATGTGCCTTAGCTCTTGCGAGTTCGACAACGTGCGGAAGCGCAAATCCAAGCTTTTTGGAATTATTTTCTTTCTGGAGGACGAGCGGTGAGTGAAAAAGGTTTTCAGTATTCTGAGCCCCTTTCTAGTTGAAATGCTCAAACGTATTTTGCGCTTTGTTTTCAATGAAAACCCATCTGTACATTTTTCGTCACGCTGATCCCTGCTCAACTGAAAACTTGGAAAAACTGTCGAAAAAATTAAAAATATAATAGATATTGGAGCCTTATGCTCTTGAAGAAACGGTTTGCGCTCAACAATGTACCTGAAACCGCATCTATATTTAAGTCTCTCATCCGACAAAGAAAGTTCCTGACGACTTCGTCACTCTTGTTAGTATTTTGTAGTGATTTAAATATTTAAAAAAAAAAAGCACTGGATGATGGTCGTTTCGTGTACCAGAAACTAAGTTGAATAATTTTGAGCGTAATGTACGTAATTCTCCAAACGTGAGAAACTTCTTTGATCACCAGCGATTTAAATGATGGACTGCAAACGATAACGATGGCATGGGGATTATTGTTCGGAGGAAAACTTGCTCTGAGCCTTTTCCACATTTACTCTTGGGATCTTCAGTTTCAAGTCGCCTAAGCGGGTTGATGTTTTGAGATTTTTTATTCCTAAGTTTAAGATTTGTGTTTCTGAATTTGTTTTCCATACTTTCAGCGGAGTGATTCTCGGGAAGTCGACACTGCGAGTTCGCGTCTGTTCTTGTCCTGTGCGAGACATGAAGAATGAAGAAGCTGATTCCAGTGGCACATCCCAGCAATCGATCAAGAGGGCATCCACGGATTGTGGAGGAGGGGCCGAGTCCAAGCAATTTCGGGCGAATGAGGTAAAAATATATTTATTTCCGTTTAGATTATTTTTTCTGATTTCTTTTCAATCAAAAGGGTCGTCCGTTTTATTTGGACGGATTGGATGCTGAGGTTGCATACAAACTGTCCCGATTGCTGCCAGTTCCATGCGACGAAAATGACGTTGGCTCTCGCAATTTTTTATACCCGGATAGTTAAAAAGCCCGGACAACCGCTGAAACATGATTTGTGGCAAAAACCTTGTGTATTTATATTTCGCTGAACGAATCGAGAATGAAATGGAATTGGATGATTGAAAATGAGTCTCCCGTATTTTTCGATCGACATACAGAGTATTAATATTTTAATCTCATTCAGTAGCGCGAAAAATTTCTTCGCCGGCATTAATGTATTCAGACGTGAAAAATGCTTTGATGGGGATCCTTCCACGAATGGACATGTCCGAAATTTCCGTGACAACGGTCTGCGCGAGAACATTAACGCTTGCGCTGTTCGTCGTTATCTGCAACACAAATTTAAGCATCGGTTCGCGATTCATTAATTTAAACTCAATTTATCTTCTATATTCTAATTTGTACTCGATCACAAATTTGCCATGATTTTGAAAAAGAGAACGATTTCTTCACCTGAAAATATTTGGAGATGTTTCCGCGGGCCGAGAAATTGACGCGACAAAGTGGGCCATCCAGCGAAGTTGGCCCTCTCGGTACCGGACTCTCCTAGATAAGGGGAATAAACTTCTCAGTTCATTGGGACGATGCTAAGCAAAATAATTGTTATACAAATTTGGCATTAAGTACGGGTTTCCCGTGACGGCGCAAATTTGTCCATCGCTCAAATAAGTGTGAAGGATTGACCAAAAAACTACCGTTGGCCTAATTTGTCCAGCAATATATTTACCTCTGAGAACAGAATTCTAAGTTGTGCTGTAATCTCAAATCTTATCTATTATTTTATATTGCAATGGACAGCCTTAAAAGAACCATACTCCTTGCAACAAGAACATTTTCAGAGTGTTCATGAATACCTCATTCAATGGAATCATCGCAAGGTCGCCAGCTGCATTGCACAAGAAGGTGCCTTTTGGTGTGTCCTGCAGAACTCGAACGCCCACTTGATCGCCACATTTGCGAAATAGTTCCATTTTAACCATGATCGGATTGTTTCGCACCACCTGGTTCAGGCACAGGTTCGGCTTTGTATTACATGCACACCTGGGTCGCACGAAGAAAAAAGGTACTTGTCAACTAAACAAAAGCTATGAAGCAGTACTGTCCATTTATTGCTACCTACGACATTAGGCAAGGTACGGTTCAGCTCCTTACAGTTCGTAGACTATAATAATACCCTTTAAACCAAGAAATATCCATGCAGCATTTGGATGTCAATGGTTAATCGTGAGATAGTGAATTTAGCAACGGAGATCTTCAAGAAAAAAACTCGGGCTTATTCCAGAATCGAAAACATGATGAATTTTTCTAAAAGCTTAAAATCGGTGTCACAAAAATCCCCGACGACGGGTACTAGAACTGGTTTTCCAGGTAAGTTTTACCGGAACAACTTTAAAGGATGAGAAAACCTGAATTTATGCTCAACCACCAATTTAATTGCTTTGCCTCCAATGACTGATGCATTATAGCCTCGTAATATCTCATATCGACTGTAACATCGATTAAATTCAGATTTTGAAATATTCAAAATTAATTTTTTGCTAATAACTTCATTTCAGAAGCAATTAAGTAGAACTTAAATTGCAATGACATCTATGTACTGTATCTGAAAGTTGTCATGATCACTCTTCACGTTCACTAAACATAATTCCGAAAAATAAACGTAGTTTGACAAGTATGCACTTTTTCTGTTTTCAAACATAACACGGAACCTGTTAAATGATAATTGACGTACTTGGAGCAACACTCGACTATCGCCGACGACTGTCGTGGGTAAAGCAACCTGCGGAACATGTACCCCGCGGATGCATCGCTTCGGGCCAGCTGGACAGTAAGCCGGCGACATTCGCACGTCCTGACTCCCTTTTCACAAAATCATCAGAACAATTCATGAATGAACATTGCCCTCTGAAATGTTGAAAATGTTCCACATTATATACCTCGCATCCATCGACGCAGGAGCAACACGTTCGTTTATCAAATGGCAACGGGACATAATTAGTGACGACGGGAACAACGATGTATTCTGTGTCCATCATCCCTGGTGTAGACGTCTGGTCAAGGCAATGAATTGGCAGCACCTCCTGGCCACGACTGACGTCCTGAAAAATACGGCTTTGTACATTTACTGATTGGAAAACACGTCTCGATGAATCCCTGATGAGCGCCTCAAGCTATAAAAAAAAAAAGAGTTCGCTCCCGAGGTTAAGACGTAATCAATAGCTTATATGCTTCGCCATATGCCAGGAACACGATTTTACAGGGCGAAACAGTTTGCAATTTTCAACAGAAATAACAATAAATGCTCTAGAGAAAAACGTTAACAGCAGAAATTGCTTCTCACATTCTAAATTTCAAACAAAAGTACACAGAGAGACCCCAGAATGCAGACACCCCAATAACATACGGACAATGCGACTTGGGGACACTTGAAACTTTGTAAAATCTGACCCGACATCTGGGTAATACTGTATCTCAACACACTGACACTTTTCCAACTTTTTTGGAAAATTTAAAAAATTTCTTTTCTCTAAATTCTCACATTTCTTGAAGAAATGTAGCTATTTACATTCACAAATACTGTACTAAAAATACAGTTTATTGTAAAATTACCCCAATTCATAATCAAAAACAAGCTAATTATGAGCTTCTTTTTCAGAATTATTTTTATCATGTGTGCACAAGTGCTGGGTGTAGCTAGACTTGTTCTCATTCTTGGCTTCTTGAGCTCCTTCTGATGCCAAAAGATCAGATTACGAGTGGTTTTTTTCTGTACATTTATTTTATTTACTTGAAGATTTTAAAAAATACAGTATTTCACTCAATCTTCGGGAGACTTTTTCTTAAATAATGATCTATTACAGGGAACCAAGTAAAAATATTCCCATTGAAGTCTATGGGAAAATGAGGTCTGACATGCAGCGATGTTCCGACATATAAACACAAGGTCCAAGCACCAATTACGTCCGCATCTCGAGGTCCCAACTTTATTCTGCATTTCGTCCAGACATTGATCTGAATTTTCAAGATTTGTAGCTCGGTGGGCGGAATATTTATTTTCTCGTCAAGAGTAGAATAATGAATAACAAAAACGATTTACGATCATTTTTGGAGATGACAATAATAAAGTTGTGCAAGACTCAATTCAATCAAGTCCCAGATGATTATTATTTTCGAAACTATAGAACCATCACCCTCGTAAATTCTGTTTCCTCAAATAAATTCCAAGTTCATAAAATTCATACAGTTTCTCGCAGCTTCGTCACCACCCAGGGACCAGCATGACGAAAATTCGTATTTTCGTCATCCATCGTCTCATCATCGTCACCATCATCATCCGAGTCATCCAAGTGCATCCACGTCAACCTGGAGCACCCCCGTTGCTGGTGACGATGCTGTTGCAGTTGCAGACGAATATCAGGCAAACCAGCAGCTGGCACAGAAGTCATGACGTACTCGTAGGCGAGGAATTCCACACCCGAGACCACGTGAACACTGAAGCAAAACATATCCACCGACAACGGCAACGGACTTCCCATCAGGTGACGCTGGACTTGGGCCAGATTTCGCAGGCGTCGACGGCAGTGACACGGGCTTATGTAAACCACGGAACCGCTCTTGCTGCTCACTTCTCTCCGGTAGCTATTTAGATCATTCAGGACAATTTTTTTCATGAAAATCGTGATACTGTAGAATAAAGTACAGTACAGTAACGTATTGGCTGACCTTAAACTTGTGGTAAAACCAAGCCATTATAATCCTTATACAGTATATCCTTCAGTGCTATATCCCTTTGGTATATGATACTGTATTACTTACAAACTCATAACATTGCAACAGAAAAATTTTTCAATTCTCAGGTGTCCGATGGTATAATATATAATTACTGCAGTTTGAATACAGTTGAACTTTAATTACTTGAACCTCCCCAAGTCAAATAAAGTACCTACTTAAGTCAATTTTTTCAAGTCCAGGTCTGAACAATGCATGAAAAACCTCCCAAACTCCGAGGCTTTTCCTCTCAAACCTCTGTAACTCGAATTTTCTGAGGTCTATTGGTTTTTCTTCTCGACACAGAAACGAGAAAAAAAAGTACAGTACATTAACTTTGTGTGTTTTGAAAAGATGAGAATTGGGCAAATGAAATCTTGCCTCCTAGTTCAACATCCTGGCAAGTCATTTAAGAGGCAACTCTGAAGGCCCAAAATATCACCATTTAAAATTTAATGCACTTCTTTTATATTTTTCACAACAAAAATGCTTGTTTTCCGAACACAAAAACTCCATAACTCATATTTGTTTGCTGGTCCCTTGATGTTTGATACTGAATATGGGTTACTGCAGCACCAGAACATCTTCTCTTATTCTTCTGCCCAGCATTCCACACCATCCGAATTTGTTTTTAAAAGAATGTTGGGATTCTCACAATTTTTCAATAAGGTTATCTTCCAAATCTTGGAGGACTAGGAAAAATGTTTAGCTTCACATGATTTTAGCTTCACATGATGATTCATCAAAGAGTGTTTCTAAATCATCCAAGCAAAGAATAATTATCTTGGAACAAACTGAACACCTTGTGCTTCGATTTGTGCTCAGTGATTGACTTGTGCTGTGATTTTTGTTGAAGGAAATAAAATTGATGCCAATCCATCATTCATGCATTAGTATATGTACAAGGAAATTTTTTTTCAACATGTATGCCTGTATGTACTACGATGAATTCTCTTTTCAGGAAATTTGTGTGTGTGTGGAAGTGGGGGGGGGTTAAAATATTTTTAACGTTATTGTGAACGTTGACAGGCAACAAATAAAGCTTGCATATCAATCAATCCAATAGACTGGAAAAATGCAGTAAAAATGCAGCTTTCCCCAACAGGCATGTGATGTGACACATTCAATTTGTCAATGAACCTCACCCCAGCATTCCGGGATAGTCCAGCAGCCCAGGCTGGTGGCGCCTCCGCATGACAGCAAACGCGCGACAGGCTTCACGGTAATTGATCTCCGTCCCGCGCTGCTTTTTCGTCCACATTCCGCAACAAGGCAACCAAAATCTAGCTCTTCTTGGTCGCAAAGCCTCGACTAACACACCTCCGACAGACAGAAGTGACTCGTCAGAGTCGTCGATCATTTCATCCGTCGTCGTCGGTGCAGTTGAGGACGTCATCGGAGGAAAGACGTAGTCGAAAATTGCGGACGAATTATCGACCGACGGCGGAAGACTCGTCTGAAGCAGGGTTTCCACTCGGCGTTTCGCTAGTCGACGTCGAACCGACAGCAACTGGACAGATTCACACCAAAGCCACTTTTTGCGTTCCGAGCCGTCGCTATCGAGGGTGAGAGCCACGAGAAGCACGAGTGAGGCGTCCTTTTGGTCGACTCGGGCCAGCTCCATTGGTGCCCCGGGTTCCCAGGCCACATGCACCGGTTGGCCGGGTAGCATTGATGCTTCTTCGTATTTCTGCTCGTTGTAGCATTTTTTTTCGTCATTTCCAAGGCTTTCTGTTTTTGCTAGTTTTAGTTGAGAGGAGAGAAGGCTTGACAGCTGTCCCAGGACTTGCGGTGTCGTCGCACTCAAGCGCCAAATAGAGGAGTCCTCAGATGAAGGGTGGAGGTAGAGAGCTGGTTCATCCACATTTGACGTTAGAACGAGCCATCTGTCGACGCGAAATGTACAGGAACAGTTTTAAAGCTTGCTAAAAGTTATCTAAAACTTGTGACTCTTTTGCAGAGAAGCATGCATCAGTACTTATTTCAAGTTCAATCAACACGGGTCTCTCGAAACTACAGTGCGTAATTTTCTTCATTATTTTACAGGTATCATCTGGATCATCCTATATTAGAAAATGAATCACAGAAAAGATTTTGCCTCGATGAAGAACGATATTGATTTGAAAATGTCAACATATTCAACAATAAAGCATGTCCTACAGTAATTTTAATTGAACCCTCAGCAGTAGTGAATAAAATATTGCGCAATTTGTCTTTTTTCTGCCTTATTTGATTGAATGGGTCATTTTACGTCAAAATACTTGAAATACGGATTTTTAAAATACGAACTATTCCTTGCACAAAAATAAAAGTGGTGTGCACACACCGAGATTAACTTGTCAATATATACTCCGAAGTGAATATTTCATGGGTTATCTAAAAATTTAATTTTTAAATTTAACTTTTTCAATAAAAATACATACGCCCAGAAAAAAGTTCCCGATCTGTTGCCTCATTTTAATGTACTTTAGATGTTTCGACAGACATAAATTGTGATTCTTCGATACAATAATAATTTCAGAAATCTTAAAAATAGTTCCAGTTGAATTTAAACTGGTAAGAAATATCGCAAGAGAGGAAATGTATCGCATATATCGAAGTAGGCATTGAAGAACAAAGCGTTTCCGAAAATTTTGTAATTTTCAGATTGTTCATCAGTAGTATACAGTATATACAATGACAGAATTTAGTCTAAAGACAAACATCTTGAGTACGTTTCGTCGAACTCACGGCCTTTTCCAACAGCTGTGCGATCATTTTCAACTTATATCTAAGAATACGGAGCGCGATGCCAGAAGAAATATAATAAGGGTCCTATATTCTTCCCGGAACTATTCCATCAGCTGTTGTGATGCTCAAATTAATTCAAATTGAAAAGCCTGAAAAAGAGCTTCAGCTCTGTTGCGAAAACTATTTTGAGCAATCCGTAGTTACGTCAGGCAAATTTTCTTAAAAACGATAATAGCGACAATGCTATATACTTCGAAAACATATCTGTTCAACGCAGGAAAAAGAGGGATGGGGAACGAATTCCCCGCAAATAATGTTCCAGGATTGAAACATGACAAACCTATTTCCATTGTTCTCATTTGCTTCCTCGGCCACCCAGCCAATCCTAAACCTTTGGAACTGCAGTGACTCTCTATTTTCCAGAGAAACTGCAGGGATGAGAAGCAAATCTCCAACACAAGCCATCACTGTTTTCACCGCTAGACGATTCGCAGGGACAAGACGCATTTCCTCCCTGATTTTCGCTTTGTCAGCGATGACCGTGACCCGAAAAACCTGACACGAAAGAATTTTAGGCAATTTAATCACGCTTCATAGAAAATTTTATTCCAGCTCCGAAGTCCGTCATTTTCATACCTGATTGCCTTTTCTTTCATACAGGTGTCGCCAAAGGGAATAATTTTGAATTCTTTGCAGGCTGTTCATCAAGTTATATAAATTCAACTGTTCGTCTGTCATCAGTTGCTCTAGATTTTATTTGACTAAATCACACGATTCTTTTCCCTAGATCAATTGATTGAAGCAACTTTTCCATGATATTTTCAAGATAAATGTGGGAATTCGCGTTAGGAATGACCAAAATTGTCAAGTGTTTACCCCGCTTCCTTTGTCGCGTTCGTGGGATACGAAAGTGGCCCGCTGCCAACGTTGCTCTGTATCGATGCAGCTGTCCTTATCTTCTGGCTCAAGATTCACAAGTACTTCTTCCCCTGGCACTGGGTCTCCACGGCAACTCATTCCTTCATCCATATCTTTCCAGAAGTTACCAACACAAACAGCACTCGAAAAATCCCAAGAGGGACCAATATGTACTGTACTCCTACAAGAAAATTCTGAAAACGGTATGCAAAATTTCCCCAATGATGAGATACATTCATAAAATAGGCCAGAGGAGTTTCAAGACACATTTCATAAAAATTAAAAATTAGCTTCGTTGGGTACATAAAAAAGATGCACCAAAAAATTGAAATTCCGAAACGTGGCACATTATAAAGAGATCGGAGTTATTCGTTCCGCAGGAATAATAGGAAAACCTGTTCAAGATTTCAGTTCAATTTCAGTTCAGCATTGACAAATCTGGAGTTTTCTTTAAACGGACAAAATTCCCTATTTCACCTCAATATTTCACTCATCTGGAAAAATAAATATTCGTGAATTTTTCACCGAAAATTCAATACATCTTGGGTGAACACGGTCAACTTCGAAAATTAACAAAAACAACAAGAAATGAGCGACGCCTGAAGAACAAGGGTAAAAATTGTCGCGTGCGTGTATTTCTTGCATTCATCCCACAAACATGCCCGTTCGTAATTATGTCGGCGGATTAAGCACAAACTTTTTGTGGCACCCGGGGGCACCACAGTTGCAATACATGAACCGCAGCTGGCTCAAGTCGGTCTCTGGCCCTACACAGTCGGCTGCTGGCAAATAGTTGTAGTCCCAAGTGAGTTCCTCGCCAGCCACCACGTCCCTCGCGGCAAACAAGGCGATCGCGTGCAAACGCGGATCTTGAGTCTCGATGAATATGCTCTGCGCGAACATGTTCGGTTCACAGGAATGCTGTCAAAAAAAATATAAGCGAAGTTCTTCGTTCATTCACCTCAAAGTCAACAATCCTGCCTGACTTACATTGAAAAATTTGCCGATATTTCCGTACGCATTGCAGTCAATAACGTAGGACGAGCCCAAGTATTCGCTCAAGCTTCGGTACACGGGTTTTGCTTCACCTGCCTCATTTTTTCCATCGCATTTACTGTTCTCTGGATCTTCCGTTTCGGTTTCTGGCATTGGTGACATGGGCGCGGCGTTTTCCTCGTAACCCGGTTTGGTTCTTTCCGCGATACTCGCGTAATCCAAATCCATGAGGTAGTGGTCAGTGAACTGTTGTCCTTCCTGAACACATTTGATGTGAAAAATGCCTTTTAATCAAGCGCCGGAAAGTTACAAAACGATAAATGTAAGCGGATAAAATGAAAATTCCAAGAGGCAACTTGATTTTTTAGTCACGTTCTAAAATAAATTAACTTAGGTGATAAGCTCGCTGGCCACTCCGGACGTAATATGCAGAAGTCACTCATTGAAATGAATTGAAAACCAATACCAAAATCAAACATTAGAGCCATCATACCACTGAAGTGCTGAGAGTTGGCTCACGCTTTTCTACGTTTGTAAACTAGAATGTCACCACTAACTTCAAATTATGCTTGAGCGTCATCCTGAACGGTGACAAAATTCGTGTAGGCAGATGAGATTCGGTTCATTCAAATGAGGTGAGTCCAATAATGAGAGCCATGGTTTTTTGCAAAATAAAAATCAGAAATTCAGACATTCGCATGAATACGGCAGTAAAGAAAGATTTCGCACCTCATCGGCTTGTTGACTCAACAGCAACTCGCCGGTGTAACTGCAGATGAACGTGCCACAAGGCAAATCGTGCAATGCTCGCACACCCCATCCCTTGGACGCCTGACGCGGATCTGTGAGGAAAAGCTCCATTTTGACGGACACCGGTTGCTGGACAACACGGTTACCACACAACCAAGGAACGTCTCGACAAGAACACCTGGAAACAATTTTTGGATTTTTTTTTTTAAATCCCCAACCACTTTTTTGTGTCATGGCCCACGGGGCAAACGTCATACCCTGAATTACATTCGAAGACGCCCGTCTGCACCTTACAGAACAGCCGACGATACTTGTACAACCCCTCTTCACCGTTGGCCAAGTCCTTCGTGAGACGCTGGCAATCACATGTTTCCGCATTCTACGATGAAAATGAAGGAACGATTCTGGATGAAAAAAAATCTCTTGAATTTCTTTCGCAATTTCTCTCGTGAAATGAGGTTTTTCAGAATTTGGATCAAAAGACTAATCTGAATTTTTAAAATAAGCATATGCATTATGAAGTGTTCAAAGGTCTTTTGAGCATTTAATTTCAATCATAAAACAAGATAAAAAATTTCCAACATTGTCCGTAACAATGACGATTTTTTTTGACCATGCATGACGGGTCATAATGGCGAATATTTTTAGGAGCACAGCAGAAGAGCGGTCACAAAACATCAACTACCAGAACAGAAAAAAAAAAAAACAGCACAAGAGAAAACCAGTACAAAACTTACGAAGTACAGTACCACAGTAAGTGTTCAAACAAGGAGGCATAAAATAGATAGAAGCTCGAAAAATTTTCAAAACACGTTAGTTTGCTGTTCTTGTACCTCATGTTTTGTACACTCGCTGTTATGCCAAACGAATCGCTTTCTCTTTTGGGGAAAAAACACTAGACTCACTAGGCAACCATCTGTACATGTGCAAGATGAACGAAATTCACACAGGTAGTCCCACTCCACGCTGCCGGAACGCATGTTCACAACGTACTCCCGAAGCTTCGGTTCTCCGCCGGTCTTGAATGGATCCGTGTAGTGAATAGCGAGTACTTCCTTGCCACAAGACACGTCCTAATGTACACAGCCATATTCACAAAAAACAACAACGAAAAGACTTAGTAAAAAAAAATTTGACAAAGAGATGTCATTCGCGTTATCGAGGTTACTTCAAAACTCATGCGACACGCTGTGCACTCACCAGATGGGGCGGCTTGAGAACTCGCTTCACCTTGTGGCTGTCACAAGGGTCATAAAACGCGAGCTGCGACTCATAATCCTCTTGTTCTTTCGCAGCGTCCGTATCACAAATGGCCGCTTCCAGGAATTCGGTGGCCAAAAACTCAACGTCCGTCCTCACATTCGGCTGCAGGCAAAACATGTCGACGGAAAGAGGCGACTGCACCTGCAGCAAGTGATCCATTATCTGCTCCAAAGACGTAAGACGCTTTCCACACGGTGCAACGTATGTGACTGTTTCTACTAATGCGGCCGCTCCATTCACACCCCGGCGTCGAGGCAACGGTTTGCTGCACTTTCTCACCTCTCGTTCGTAGCTGAAAGACATAACGAAAAAACTAAGTTCCGAGCGCGATTTTAATAATTTTCACGAACAAAACTTGCATGAAATATTCTGTAATGCGACTTCCCAGGATCACGTCTCAGATCATATAGAAACGTATTTTGATCGAAAAAAGGCCATCCGAAAAAAATCCGCTTCATCTTTGAACAAATCCTTCCTTTTTCTTTTTGCTCTACTGAAAAATATTAATAATTCTTCGTCTTATAGAATGTAAATTAGAAAAACCATGCTTCCAATCGTGACTGGACAAGTGAGAGCACCTCAGAAAAAAACAAAGCATGCCAAAATCAGTAGAAAATAGCACTCTTGCGTAAGAGTTTTCAAGATTAAGCAAAAACATTTTTTAGTTTCACGATGTCAGACAATGATCCTGTTTCACAAGGTTGGTCAGCTTGAAAGGTTTCCTAAAAGTATACCAATAAATGAAATTTCCAACACACACAAAATATATTTAGTGTCTCTTAATCTCTGATGCTTAATTTTCGGTGTTGTAAATACACTTTCATTGTTCTTTTTTCACGGGAATTTTTTCCCTTCTTGAAAGGCGCTTTAAAAAACACGTTAAAAAAAAAGATTGTACGGTACAGTATTACGAAATTAACAATATTTTCACATCTTCCAGATTAAAAATAAATAAAATAAATTTCCCCGCTTCTCTCACCCGAATACAGCGGGGATCTGAAACAGGCCAAGTTGGCATTTGTGCCGCAGAATGCCCATGAGTTCCATCAACTTGGCAGAATTGTTTTTGATGATGTTCGTACAATTTAAGCGGCATGGGCCAGAGTTTGCGCTGAATGTGGCTCCTCGTCCAGTGTGTTGCACTCTCCGTGGGGTTTCCACCGGGCGGAAAATCCTCCTCACCAATACACCTTCCTTCATCGGCTGGCATCAGAAAAATTTGTCAAACGATTTCGCCAAAAAAATTTAAAACGCATGAAACATACATCAACCCCAAAAAGGACTTTTGAAATTAAACTGTTCGCGTTGAAGGCGTTTTTTTCTTCCTTCACGTCATCCTTCGTTTGCAACTTGCCAAGAGTTTTCTCCACGTCATTCCCAGGGCAAAGTCGCGGTCTTTTCGTTCCTGCCTTCCGAGCAGTCTCTTTATTCTTCGTCGACGTTTTGGTCCCCAAATTCTGTCGATTCTCCTTCTTCTCGCCGATGGTTGATGATGCATTCGACGAGATCAGGTCACCCTGACTGACCTCAGCTTTTCGGCGGCGTTCAGCATAGGCCTGACACACGGGCCAAAGAAGCTTCGAGCCGCGCCAAATCGTGATTTGTTGTTTGGCGTCCACCACGTTTAAGCGAGCCAAACCTGCATCAACGTGCTCAACAATGGCACGATACAATTGACGTGGGCCCCAAATCACGTCCACTTCCTCGTCCACACGCAAATTCAGCAGGATTCGTTCGGGTCCCTGATGCATGTACGCTCGACGAGCGTGAACTTGCTGCAACGACAGGGCGGACGTTGAGCTGCCGTAATGATGGCGATGATGTCCACCACCAGGCTTGGCCAACATCACCCACAACTCGCTAGGTTGAGCATAGAATGCCAATTCCCAAGAGTCGTCATCGCCGAACACCAGACATCTGACAATCAAGACGACAGAGAAAACAACAGGTCTTTTCAATCCACGAGAAAAGTAAAAAGGAGGGTGACAAGAAAAAGTGTGCGTCTCCCACAGCGGAATAATCAAAAAATTAAATTAAATTATCGCTTCTCCACATGATCAAAACAGTTGAAGCACGAACTAGCGCTTGAAGAGAATATCGATTAAACTTAGCTTAAATAGAAACCATCTTGATTATTCTTTTTACACAACAAAATTAATCTCTTCCAAAAAAGCATTCAAGCTGACAAACGTATTCTAAGTGCATCCTTACCTAAAGCTTAACAGTCTGTTGGCCACATGAACAAGGACAAAAAAAAATTAACCATAAAATAAAAAAACAGAAAAAAATTTGAATAATTTGAACAAACGTGTGGCAAAATATGTAAGCAAAGAAATGCGAATAAAAAATGAATGCGAAAATACTATCGGAAATTGTTCAGCAATAGCAGGTAAAATACCTACATTTTTTTTCATTCTAAGATATACCATAAATCTTTTTCAAAATGCACTGAAGTTATTTGCCGATAAAAAAATCCCTCTGACTCCCACGTAATTTTCAAGCTTGATATTCTTATCTGCCTTCAACTACTTTGCCAATGCGAAATAATCAGAAAGGTGAAAAAAAAATTCGTTGCTCCTACTGAAAAACATGAGGAAATTATGTTTTTCAGAAAAAAAATCCTTCCAAAAATTACCCGCGCACTGTAAGTGAAGTAAGCCGCCACGAAATTCCCCAATTTTCATCGATTTGTTCGCTCAGTGGAAATACAAAGGTGGTAAAAATTCAGATTTTTCGGCATACGTGCTCAACGTTAGGTTCAAGGCAAGATACAGTATTCTATGCACCTCGTGATCGGATGCGGCTCATTCTTCTTTTTTCCGGAGAGAAAAATAAATAAATATAAAGCATCTATATATACCAACTGTCCTTTTGTGTTACTTCCGGAGATGTTGCTGCTCAGTGCGATGAATCGAGAGAAATTGATTGCTCACCGGAAAGAATTTTTGAGAGAGGGCAATTCGGCTATCCAGCCTGTTCTGTCCCTGCCTTCCGGGAAACGCACCAACACGAACATCGGATCAAGGTCTTATCTTAGGCAGGCCCCAACCTTCCGGTGAGCCAGGCAACCGTTGAGGACTTGTACTGGTAGAAGATCAAGTTGGAGATGAAACAGGACGTTTTTAATTGCTCCATTGTCACCCCCCCCGACATCCGAACAATGTCTCGAGATGCGGATACTTCGTCAACATTTCTATGATGGAGCGAAAATTTCATTTTTCAAAATGTGCATACCTCTCGAACAAATAGAGCTATTTATATTGAGGATAATTTAAAATTAATTGTATTATGAATTTAGTCTAATCCAGATTCCAAAACAGGCTCATTTTATGCTTCTTTTCAGAGTTTTCTGCATCATCTGTGCACAGTATAGAAAGACTCATGCTTGTTTTTTTAGACCCTTTTACATGTCAAAAGATCTAATTTTGTGCGGCTTTCTTCTGTACATTGATTTTCTGTATCTTGAAGTTGAGAAAAAATATTTAATATTTGGGGACAGTAATCGTAATTTTTTTACGAACAAGTGAACCGCTTAAATACGGTACTACATTACAGTATATGTTCTCATTGAAATCTACGGGAAAACGTGATCCGACATGCGGACGTTCAGACATCAAAACAAGGACAAAGCACCAATTACGTCCGCATCTCGGGGCCCTTCGGTACATTAAATTTCCAGGTACGGCCAAGATATATTTTTTCGGACATCTAAATGCAGAATCGAAAAAGTCGCCGCGCTCAGAAGAACTTGTAATCATTAACTTAATACTGTACTGTACAGTACTGTATATGTGGCAGATTCGTCCAGTATGATGATGGATTGTTTACGAGGGTAGATGTCACTGGCATTCACAATTGCGTTTCGATTTTACACCGAGTCATCCTGCTTCTGCTTTACTCGCGTATATGCAAATGAGCACTGAGACGACGAGACATCGAATTTACTTGAATTCCCGCTCACATCGAAAAATGAATAATCGGACGAGATATTTCGTTCGCGTTCCTCACGCTTCACGAAATTTCTTTCGAGCTTTCTCGACATCACCAGATATTTTCAGGCTATTTTGCATTTATTTTCCCTTATGTTTCTACTGCGAAGAAACTGCTTTGACGTCCCATGCAAAATATTTCCCGAATTTACCTATAATTGATATCGCCCGTCTCTGTTACTTTTCCTAAATAAACCAGTCGCATGATGGAATACACTTTTGATGATGATAAACGGATTCAAGGTTGCTCAACATAGCAGGAAAATTCTTCAGTAGACTGGATACTTGAATAAAATGTTCGCGACGTTAGTTTAGGAAATTTGAGTCTTTAAAGAGATACGGTTCCGCTTCGCAAAAATTACGTAATTATACCCAGAATTCGGCGAATACATCCAAGAAACATTGAAAAGAACGCATAAAAATTCAGTTTAAGTAAGAAACTCGTCTTTGCTCGAGATTCAATACAGAAAACCGGTTTCCAGGAGGGAAAAAAAAGGCGACAAGGAACCATTCTTCTGATACATTTAAAAAACTCGTGACTTCTCGAATCGAATGCTAATTCTCGATGGTGACATGCAATGCTCCCTCCTGTGTCATATCAAAATTTCCTATGCATAACCTATAACCCCACGAGCAGAGGAGTAAAAGAAAGAAAAAGAAAAAGTCGCTCGGCAAAAAGGTCAAAATGTCACACCCGGAGTTATTCTCATTTCTCTCCCTCTCTCTCTCTTTCTTTTCTGCTCAAAGAGGCACAACATAAACTCAACTAAAAAAAAAAGAAGAAAAAAAGATAGGACGATCGAGAATCGAGATACGAATGACTGGCAAGTTCGCATGCATTCACGGCGCTCGGGAATCGCAAACTGGGTCACGGGACAATGGATACTTACCTCTGTCGGGGCCTCGTCATCATCCGTGCCTGGTTCGTCGACCACGTTGATAAGGAATTTTGCTGACACCCAGTTCGGGAGGTCGGCGGAAAGCTGAACCATGACCGGGGCACCGACAGCCGGACTGAGTGTCACTTGAGACGACGATGACCTGTTGATGCCGCCGCCGCCACCGACATCGTCGCCCCGAGTCGGTCGCTGCCACAGAATCTCGACATCCTCGCTGGCAACCAACGCTTCCTATAAAAAGATTCGCATGACAAAATTTCAAATACTGTAAGAATAGCAACAACATCAAAATCGAATGTCTCTCAACACTACGAGTAAGGTTCACTCTGAGGTTAATCGCTGATGCAACAACAACAATAGAGTACATATCTCGAATTTCTCACAACCTGAACTCTGCTNATTTTTGAGAGAGGGCAATTCGGCTATCCAGCCTGTTCTGTCCCTGCCTTCCGGGAAACGCACCAACACGAACATGCCTAGTTCCAGAATAGAATCCGTCCGGGGTTGGAAGGCCACTCGGTCCGTTGGCAACTCCTGAACATGACCATCTTCTAGTTCAACCTCTACTTTGTCCTGCAAAAATTAACGAGGTAACAGTGGGGCCCCGACATCCGAACAATGTCTCGAGATGCGGATACTTCGTCAACATTTCTATGATTGAGCGAAAATTTCATTTTTCAAAATGTGCATACCTCTCGAACAAATAGAGCTATTTATATTGAGGATAATTTAAAATTAATTGTATTACGAATTTAGTCTAATCCAGATTCCAAAAGAGGCTCATTTTATGCTTCTTTTCAGAGTTTTCTGCATCATCTATGCACAGTATAGAAAGACTCATGCTTGTTTTTTTAGACCCTTTTACATGTCAAAAGATCTAATTTTGTGCGGCTTTCTTCTGTTCATTGATTTTCTGTATCTTGAAGTTGAGAAAAAATATTTAATATTTGGGGACAGTAATCGTAATTTTTTTACGAACAAGTGAACCGCTTAAATAAGGTACTACATTACAGTATATGTTCTCATTGAAATCTACGGGAAAACGTGATCCGACATGCGGACGTTCAGACATCAAAACAAGGACAAAGCACCAATTACGTCCGCATCTCGGGGCCCTTCGGTACATTAAATTTCCAGGTACGGCCAAGATATATTTTTTCGGACATCTAAATGCTGAATCGAAAAAGTCGCCGCGCTAAGAAAAACTTGTAATCATTAACTTAATACTGTACAGTACTGTACTGTATATGTGGCAGATTCGTCCAGTGTGATGATGGATTGTTTACGAGGGTAGATGTCACTGGCATTCACAATTGCGTTTCGATTTTACACCGTGTCATCCTGCTTCTGCTTTACTCGCGTATATGCAAATGAGCACTGCGACGACGAGACATCGAATTTACTTGAATTCCCGCTCACATCGAAAAATGAATAATCGGACGTGATATTTCGTTCGCGTTCCTCACGCTTCACGAAATTTCTTTTGAGCTTTCTCGACATCACCAGATATTTTCAGGCTATTTTGCATTTCTTTTTCCTAATGTTTCTACGGCGAAGAAACTGCTTTGACGTCCCATGCAAAATATTTCCCGAATTTACCAATAATTGATATCGCCCGCCTCTGTTACTTTTCCTAAATATACCAGTCGCATGATAGAATACACTTTTGATGATGATAATCGGATTCACGGTTGTTCAACATGCAGGAAAATTCTTCAGTAGGCTGGATACTTGAATAAAATGTTCGCGACGTTAGTTTAGGAAATTTGAGTCTTTAAAGAGATACGGTTCAGCTTCGCAAAAATTACGTAATTATACCCAGAATTCGGCGAATACATCCAAGAAACATTGAAAAGAACGCATAAAAATTCAGTTTAAGTAAGAAACTCGCCTTTGCTCGAGATTCAATACAGAAAACCGGTTTCCAGGAGGGTTTTTTTCCGCTGTTCCTTGGTAAGAAGACTATGTAAATTTTTTGAGCACTGAAGAGCTTAGCTTACGATTAAGAGCTACCACTGTACGTTACGAGGGAGGACACAGTATAGTTTTAAAGGATACGTTAACCTATAACCCCACGAGCAGAGGAGTAAAAGAAAGAAAAAGAAAAAGTCGCTCGGCAAAAAGGTCAAAATGTCACACCCGGAGTTATTCTCATTTCTCTCCCTCTCTCTCTCTTTCTTTTCTGCTCAAAGAGGCACAACATAAACTCAACTAAAAAAAAAAGAAGAAAAAAAGATAGGACGATCGAGAATCGAGATACGAATGACTGGCAAGTTCGCATGCATTCACGGCGCTCGGGAATCGCAAACTGGGTCACGGGACAATGGATACTTACCTCTGTCGGGGCCTCGTCATCATCCGTGCCTGGTTCGTCGACCACGTTGATAAGGAATTTTGCTGACACCCAGTTCGGGAGGTCGGCGGAAAGCTGAACCATGACCGGGGCACCGACAGCCGGACTGAGTGTCACTTGAGACGACGATGACCTGTTGATGCCGCCGCCGCCACCGACATCGTCGCCCCGAGTCGGTCGCTGCCACAGAATCTCGACATCCTCGCTGGCAACCAACGCTTCCTATAAAAAGATTCGCATGACAAAATTTCAAATACTGTAACTTATCGTTGTTGTAGTTTTAGCTTACAGAGAGTTGTGATGCTCATTCCAAGTGAGACTCCAATTAGCGACTACGTTGTTGTTGTTATCTCATGTATAGAGCTTAAAGAGTGTTGGACTTGAGACGATAAACCCCGATTGAGTACTCACATAACGGAAGGCCCTCACAACTAAAAATTTGTAAAATGAAATTTTCAACAGGGAAAAAGATTCTCACTTTTTCCCTGTAAGTACGACATTGTTTCCACATAATATATTGTGGCCCAAAAATGATCAAATTTCGACATTTTCTCGACAACAAAAACTTCGACATTTTTTCTAGCTTTGCCTCTTCTCACCTCTACGTTTATTTACATTCAGAAAGGCAAGAACACGAAATTTCTTGAATTTCATACTTTAAAATTTTAAATCGCAATTTTTTGAGAGAAAAAAAAACCAAGAAAAATAAGCAATTGTGTGGTTCATCGTGGCTTTTTGATGAGTATCTGCAACAAAATTATTTTTTTTTTTAATATTCAACGCGTTCTCGAAGGAAATCGCGGTTCGCATTAAGAAAATTAATCGTAATAAAACAAAACCGCATAACAGAACTAATCCGCTCCTGGGTGAATTTCGTTAGGCCGAATTTTCGTCATGTGAAACTCGCTTTCCATCGAGATTACATCGTGATTGATCTCATTTGTTCCAGCGACACAAGAAAAGACCACAGTAAGCCGAACGATTTGTGCATTTTTTGCAGAAAATTTTAAATTTAATATCATTTAGCATTAAATTGAAGCAATCCCGAAAGCTCTTAACTTTTTTTCAATTTCTCGCAATTTAAAGACAGGAAGATGTGAAACGACCTTTTCCTTTCCTTATTTTCCTTGATTTTTGAAAAATTTCTCAAGTTTCAGTTCGAAATTTGCACTTTTTTCTGAAATGAAACAATCTTCATTCGTTGAAATAAGTTCTTACAGTTATTCATGCTTCCCCCGCCCAGTAAAACTTGTTCTAATGCGGTTTCCTCGTTATGTCAAGACATACTGCACCCGGATGCATCAGAAATGCGCATGTCAGTCATGTACTGTACAGTAAAATACACTCACCATCTCTTCCGGCTCCTGACGACGGTCTGGCAACGGAATCTCAGTCTCAATCGCCTCCTGTCCACCATCTTCCCCAAGCGAAGACATTCTTCAAAATGAAGTTATTTTCGTCTGGGGACGAAGTCACGCAGTATAGAGCTTTTTTGAGCAGGATTCCAGTCAAAATCCATCGGATTAACAAGGTGATGATACTGTACGTCATGATAACCTATCCGCAACATAGTGAATGTTACTGCTCTTACAGAAAAGATCAGCTTTACTAGGGATTAAATCCATAAAATTCCACATTCAACGAATACTGCATGACGCGCTTTTGCTTAAGCGTAGTTTCAGGGTATTTACACAAATATCTGCCTATTCACATGAACCTCTTCATAGTTTTTTACCCATGAAAATTCTAATTTCGTGTCATGAATACAGACAAAATTCGTGGTAGAGTGAATTTCGTCGCAAAGAACCCCTTTGACGCAGGGAGAGAACTTTATGGGTTTTTTTAAAAATCGTAATACAGTACAGCGTACATCTTTCTACAGAGAGTTCACCAACATATATTCCCCGTATAAAATCGATAACATAAATTATTTCAAATTTATTATGTGAATTAGTCTTGAATTCACCGGCCAATACTATACGAAGGACCTTCGTCGATGTTCAGAAAAGTAACAAAAAAACTTGGCATTTTGAAATAGGGCAAATTGAAACTACGGTCTTTTGCACGTTGGAAAATCTGTCCCCGNGAATAGCAACAACATCAAAATCGAATGTCTCTCAACACTACGAGTAAGGTTCACTCTGAGGTTAATCGCTGATGCAACAACAACAATAGAGTACATATCTCGAATTTCTCACAACCTGAACTCTGCTAAAACCCCGAGTGAGTTTAACGACATAACGGAAGGCCCTCACAACTAAAAATTTGTAAAAAGAAATTTTCAACAGGGAAAAAGATTCTCACTTTTTCCCTCTAAGTACGACATTGTTTCCACATAATATATTGTGGCCCAAAAATGATCAAATTTCGACATTTTCTCGACAACAACAAAAACTTCGACATTTTTTCAAGCTTTGCCTCTTCTCACCTCTACGATTATTTACATTCAGAAAGGCAAGAACACGAAATTTCTTGAATTTCATACTTAAAAATTTAAAATTCGCAAAAAAAACTAAAAAATAAGCAGTTGTGTGGTTTATCGTGGCTTTTTGGTGAGTGTCTGCAACAAAATTATTTTTTAATATTCAACGCGTACTTGACGGAAATCGCGGTTCGCATTAAGAAAATTCATCGTAATAAAACAAAACCGCATGACAGAACTAATCCGTTCCTGGGAGAATTTCGTTAAGCAGAATTTTCGTCATGTGAAACCCGCTTTCCATCGAGATTACATTGTGATTGATTTAATTTGTTCCATCAACACGAGAAAAGACCCACAGTAAGCCGAACAATTTGTGCATTTTTTTGCAGAACATTTTAAATTTAATATCGTTTCGCATTAAATTGAAGCAATCCTGAAAGCTCAACTTTTTCAATTTCTCGCAATGTAAAGACAAAAAGATGTGAAAGGATCTTTTCATTTCCTCATTTTCCTTGATTTTTGAAAAATTCTCAAGTTTCAGTTCGAAATTTGCACTTTTTTCTGAAATGAAACAATCTTCATTCGTTGAAATAAGTTCTTACCGTTATTCATGCTTCCCCCGCCCAGTAAAACTTGTTCTAATGCGGTTTCCTCGTTATGTCAAGACATACTGCACCCGCTACGTAGTCTTTACGCGTACAGTCAGTACATGACATGTCATTTTATGTGAGTGGTAGAGAAGGCCGAGGACTGCTGCCAGACCGTTGCCTTAGAGTCAGAGTTAGCGGAGGACAGGTGGTAGAAGGGCAAGCGAAGACATTCTTCAAAATGAAGTTATTTTCGTCTGGGGACGAAGTCACGCAGTATAGAGCTTTTTTGAGCAGGATTCCAGTCAAAATCCATCGGATTAACAAGGTGATGATACTGTACGTCATGATAACCTATCCGCAACATAGTGAATGTTACTGCTCTTACAGAAAAGATCAGCTTTACTAGGGATTAAATCCATAAAATTCCACATTCAACGAATACTGCATGACGCGCTTTTGCTTAAGCGTAGTTTCAGGGTATTTACACAAATATCTGCCTATTCACATGAACCTCTTCATAGTTTTTTACCCATGAAAATTCTAATTTCGTGTCATGAATACAGACAAAATTCGTGGTAGAGTGAATTTCGTCGCAAAGAACCCCTTTGACGCAGGGAGAGAACTTTATGGGTTTTTTTAAAAATCGTAATACAGTACAGCGTACATCTTTCTACAGAGAGTTCACCAACATATATTCCCCGTATAAAATCGATAACATAAATTATTTCAAATTTATTATGTGAATTAGTCTTGAATTCACCGGCCAATACTATACGAAGGACCTTTGTCGATGTTCAGAAAAGTAACAAAAAAACTTGGCATTTTGAAATAGGGCAAATTGAAACTACGGTCTTTTGCACGTTGGAAAATCTGTCCCCGACGGCCTCTGTTATCATGACGTACTCATCATGACGGTACAGCAAGAGTTTCAGACGACGACGACGCAATGCAACAAATAAACGTGACACGGTTGTCGGTGTGACAGGGAAGAACCAGTCTTTTTTAATCCTTCAAATCCCACGCCGTGACGAGCAGCTGAAGGAGGAGGAGGAGCAGGTTTGAAGACAACAACGACGACGAGAAAAAAAAAAAAGAAGACGAGGCGAGACAAACGATATTGGAACCATTATCGAGCGAGAAAGGCGACACATACACACACACACACATCTAAACACACACAAATACCACATCTTCTCTTCCATTCCTCCTCGACCCTCGTCCACTCTTTCACGCGGTCATCACGAGCGAGATCAGCGCAACAAAAAAAAACAAAAAAGGGACACGAACTCTTTTCTTCTTATTTTTTTCGGAAAGACGGGTTCGGGCAAGCTCATTTGAGTGTCCGCGGACCAACGAAAGGAAGACGCGACGCGACGCACATCGTCAGCCATCAACAGAACCATTCCCCGAAAAAGGCAACACGAACCCAAACCACGTTTCTCTCTCTCGTCGCGAAATAAGAGGGTTCTCCGAGGGCTTCGAGCATGACCCTAATTTTTTTTTTCCTCCTCGAAGCCAGTACGTTTTGATGAAGTCCTTTCAATGCCATTACTTTTGTATATTTTTTCCGCTCTGTCCTGCTTTAAATATTAAACGTTAAAATACACTAACAACGTGGAGAGATCCGAGAGTCAATTTATTGGGTTCCACAAACCGGACCTTTTCTTCTAATAGAAGCAGCGTTATATATTTTTTCCGCTCTGTCCTGCTTTAAATATTAAACGTTAAAATACACTAACAACGTGGAGAGATCCGAGAGTCAATTTATTGGGTTCCACAAACCGGACCTTTTCTTCTAATAGAAGCAGCGTTATCAGGACGGATAATCATGAGTGTTCGTATTATTTTGTAACGTCCAAAAAAACCAGGAACAATTTATTGATGCAGAAGAATGGACCATCTTTACAATTGTATACCCCCAGAAGCAAACGTAATTGAGTCTTGGACCTTGTCCAAATGTTGGGACACGCCTTCTCATATATTTAAATCGTAACATTTTTAATCGGTTCTCCCGTTCGTCAAAAATTTGGAAAAAGTCCCCAAAACTGGATAATTTTTTTGTTCTCAACTTCAAGATACAGAAAATAATGGCAGAAAAAAACCCACAAAGAATCTACCTTTCTGGCGTGAAAAGGAGAGAAAAAATAATAACGCACACCTCTTGCAAAAGTGGGCACAGTTGATGGAAAAACGCCAACGAAGGCGGCACAAAATTAACCGGTACAGTATTCGATAATCAACTCGAGTGAATTCATAAAATTTATTTTTAGTTTTTGTGAACACAATTTGCTAAACTTATTCGAGAGATACAGTACCAAGATTTAGAAAAATTTAATGTTTCGGTTTTCCTGGAAAATGTTGGCCAAGTGTCCATATCTCAAGAAATTGCCCGGGTGCTGGGTCAGATTTTTCTAATGGTGTCCTCAGTTCGAATCGTCCGTAGGTCGGGACTCCACAGGACCAAACAAAGTAGTTTTCTCTCTGACAGATTTCCCATTCAAATAATTAATTCTGGTAAATTTCACTCATCGGACTTCATAATCTATTCCATCACTGCAAATCTGCAAGAAAACCTCATCTTGCGTTTAGGTAAACCGTCTCTAATCGAAACCCAATCATATGTTTCCTATCCATTGGCATCATCTGGAATAAACGGGGTACAGATAAATTCACAAAAATTTCTAAAGTTCGCTCCGGACAAACAAGATTAAACCCCCACCAGCTTAGAAGGGGAAAAAAGAGTCATCAAAATCCACTCGGAACCCCGGCAACCCTCGTACCACGTGGTTCGACGACCAGGAAGTAAGCAAGGAAGCAAGCAATAGAATCCACGCGCGAATCCGCTTCCCCTTTAATTATTTTGACGGGAATCACGTTGATGATCAGTGGGTGGTAATCGTAAAACGCGTCATCACACACATGCCTGAAAACGGACCGATTCTCGCCTATCACAAAGGGACGCATGAACGTCGTACGAGACCAAAATCCCAAAAAGCTACAATCGATGGACGGATCAGTCACTGTCGATAATTTTTCTTCTTTTCCCATCGACGGCGACACCAAGAAAGGAAAAAACAAACACTCTTGACCGAGCAAATATTTCTTTCCGCCAAAAAGGAAAAAACCGGCAACGGCGCAGGAAAAAGCCGAAAAAATGCAACCAAGATTTTCAAATATGGAAGACAACGAACTCGTTTGGAGGGGGTGGGGGGAATAAAAGGAATAAAAAAGAAAAAGAAACTTCCCACATCCCATTACCTCCCTCTTTTTTCTTCGTCTTCAATCAAAAAAATGCACAAAATCATCCGCACCCTTTGAGCAATTAACCACCAGAGAATCAATCCATTTGACCGATGTTCGCAGTTTTCAAACAACAACAAAAAAACCTACAGACAGAAAATTCGGAAAACACCGGGAGGGAAATTTTTTTCTTTTTTCGTCGAGCACACGGAATTTTTTGTTTTCCTCTTCGTCGCACTTCGCAAACAGGGATGAATGAAAAATTTATAACAATCGAACATGGCAAATCTTGAAATGCGAGTGAGCAATTTTTCCCCCTCTTTTCGGACAGACGAGAANTATTTTTTCCGCTCTGTCCTGCTTTAAATATTAAACGTTAAAATACACTAACAACGTGGAGAGATCCGAGAGTCAATTTATTGGGTTCCACAAACCGGACCTTTTCTTCTAATAGAAGCAGCGTTATAAGGACGGATAATCATGAGTGTTCGTATTATTTTGTACCGTCCACAAAAAGCCAGGAACAATTTATTGATGCAGAAGAATAGACCATCTTTACAATTGTATACCCCCAGAAGCGAACGTAATTGAGTCTTGGGCCTTGTCCAAATGTTGGGACACGCCGTCTCATATATTTAAATCGTAACATTTTTAATCGGTTCTCCCGTTTGTCAAAAATTTGGAAAAAGTCCCCCAAAACAGGATAATTTTTTTGTTCTCAACTTCAAGATACAGAAAATAATGGCAGAAAAAAAACCACAAAGAATATACCTTTTTGGCGTGAAAAGGAGAGAAAAAATAATAACGCACACATCT